AAATCGAGAATAGCTAGATTCATATAACGGTAGGTAATAGTTACCATCTGCCGGTACAGACTTGCCGTCTCATCTAACCATGTAAGCCTAATCAGTATTATGGTCTAGGTTTTTTTCGTTCTACTGTGAATGACAATAGTGAATTTATTTTTCATCAATGTCATGTTATTTACACTCTAATATGTCATTAGATGTTATTACTTAAGCTTTTTAAATTTTTTAGCCGTTCAGAAGGTTTCTATAAGAAGCTGTTTAGAGTTCAGTAACAAATACAGGGGTTCAGTAATTTTATGTAGCCTTACTTCGAAATCAAAAACTTTTTGAATGAAGTAGAATACAAAGACAGATCTAAATTATGTAAGTAGCACAAAAATATGTGATTACGTTGGTTAAGTGACCTGAATTCAATTTCACTTCAGTGCCACCTTGGACACTTCAGCCTGAGATCTAATAGCGTATTCGGTTTCTGACCTGAAGCTGCTCAGGGCAGGCCTGGAAACACCTGAACATTGACAAACTGCGCCGATTATATGTTGATATTATTTAAAAAAAGACGACTCAAGCCGTTGTCGGTACAGTTCATCAATGTTCGGGTATTTCCGGGCCTACCCTGGGCAGCTTCGGTTCAGAAACCGAATACGCTATAAGTTTCCATTTTCATCAACCGTTGAAACTTCAACTTAACTAGCAAGCCACTTCGGATTAATGTCATCGAATCAACAAACCATACTTGTTGTGTCTTTTAAAGCATTTGAATGATGAATTTATAACAAATTCTATACGCTTATCTAAGAGGCAATTAAACTAATGAACTAATGAACATTTGAATTAAATAATTGGCAGGAAACATGCATAAATTTTCAAAACTAATAATACATTCAATAGATTAGCTATATTTTCGCTAGAAAATACAGGGTAAAATTCTGTTTAGTTGTTGATGTATTCTTTCAGTCTTTTACTTTTTGTTTTACGATTTTTTTTTAAAAGACCTTCAACCCATTGAATACGGAGCCCTTTCTCACGCTTCTTTGTCATTAACTCAGTCTGGACCTCCACGTAACTTGATGCTTTGCTTCTTGTTTTTTCCCGTATATCTTTTTTTCATTTCTCCTAGACTCCGCCCTCTTTAAGTCAATGGGAGGGTCTCAGTTGGCTCCGCCCTTTTCCTTGCTAACTTTCTCCCGCCTTGACCTATAATCGGGGGTGGATATCACTAAGTACTTACACTTTTTAATACTTACTGGAAAACCCTATTCCTCTCCTGTGCTTTAAAGTATTATGCAACAGGTATTATATTCGGCAATGACCGTACGGCTGGTCGGAATCATGTTTTAAAGTGGAACGTCTGAGTCGTAGTATTTTTGGCTAGATCTAAAATAGATTACTTTTTTCGGCAAGCGTAATAACACTACACAGATGACATGGTGATTAGAAGATAGCTTTGTATCTCATTTCAACGCGGTTAGATAAGTATCAAAACATGACATGTTGAGCTCAGACAAATTACGAATTGTTATTTGCATAATCTCTGACAGACTTTGCATTACATGTGCTAATGAGGGACTAAGTATATGTGTAAATTAACGAAATGTAGAGAATATTGATAATATCAAGGTGATGAAAATGTTACATTTCTAAAAGAATACTCATTTTCTACAATATTGACCTTTATTCATATCCACATGTACAGCCTAAAGTAATCGCTCAAATCTCTTTCTGAAGTCAATGCCCTTAAACCTGGTTTGAATTACGAATATTAAAGGAATTCGGCATTGCACACAATTTCAATACACTTATCAATCTCCACTTCACAGGTGTGGTTTCACATGTAGGCAGCTCTGAAGTTAGGAATTAAATATGTTCAACTGTCATTTTTTGACTGATTCCTTCTTAGATAACATCACTCATTGTTTAATATACTCGATATGCCTCTTGTTCGTTCCAATATTCGTTCGGTCTGAAACAAAATAGCAAAAGTCGTTAAATTTACTGTTATAAATCTAAGATTGATTGGCCGACCAAAGATAAAAATCACATCTGCACTTTTTTTTATAAAAATACAAAATACTAACCTGCCGTTTCTGGCCATTTCATGGATGAAAGCACACCAAGAGACAATTACGAGGAATACAGATCCAACACCCCCTATGAGATGAGGGTCTAAAGACACTAGATTTTCGGCCAAATAGATGATGAACCGAAATAGATGTAGAAATGGTAGGATTTTTTGCAACATATTGGTGCACATTTCAAAACCCTTCAGTATGGTATAATTCATGATAAAGTGCACAACTGACGTTTGTAACGGGACTGATTACGCTCAATAATGGGGTAAAAATAATGGTATAATACTATCTAGTTTTTCCCCATACTCATGCGTCATACTCTATCAATAAATAATTATTTTGAGAACAAAAAGACATGGAGTTTCATTTTATAACGAATTTTTTATTGAATAAAAGAGATCTTGTAAATCTTATAAAAAATATTAGACATATCTTAACAGTAACAAATAGATCATATTAATCAATAGATTTCACAATTCATCTTAACAAACGATTGGCACTTAAAAAACTAGGCCATAGAATTCTACAGTCCAACTGGGACGAGTCATAAGTAATACTAACTGACTAGTATCTTGAGATTACTGACATTATTTGGCGTTGATTGACATTAAATGCATTAGTCTGAACTCTTAAGTCTTGGCCTCTATGCAATAGGGTACCGATATAAATATGCTTATCATAACAAGTCTTAATCTACAAACATTTCTTATACATCAACAAGTGAGTCAAAAAATATATAATATACCTTACAAAATGTAACAGTCCAATAAATATCTTAATATATAATAAATAACTTAGATAAATAAGGACGAGTAGATAATTTTCGGTCATTTTTTATGATTGCCGAATTAATAAAGTTATGAATGGATTGCTGATTAAATACTCTGAATGTAATGGCAATATAAACTTCATTGTTTAACCAGCACAATTATTGCACAATAGACATGATTTAATTACGTTATAGAAATATATTATTTTCTGCAATAAACATTACATTATATTAGTTTATTATTACTCGAACGCGAACTTCTTATTGCATCATACGTTTTTGTTTCTCGGGAAACATAGTGACACAGTGATCTAGTGTCATTAATTTACATAAGTGAAAGAACTCATCTATTTGTATAAATCGTAACGTATCCGAAGCTCTCATGACGATAGTAGATAGTAGCAAAAAATACTATTCAAAAAATCAGTTGAGAGTAATATAATGCTTCTTCATATAGACTTAAAGTCGAGTTTTGTATTACTTGTCTGTCGAACAAGTGACTTTTAACCTGTAACAAAAATTAGCATTTTACAAATTAGCACTCAGAATAAAGCTACTCGACTAAGAGAAGATCTGATAAGTCTTATTTTCCAAGCTTTCTGATATCTTTGATGGCAAAAACATCATTTGGTTATTTATAACTAAAGAAAAATAATAAAAACTTACCACAACAGCAGGAGCTCGACCACTAGGATACAGGTAGTCACGAAAAGTTGTAGTTTCTCAACGTTATGATTTTTACAGTGATATGTGACTGTCATCTCCACTACTTCATTTCTGCACTTTGTCCCCGAATTAAACGGAACCGCCATGACTGCACCTTCCTACTTGCAAGTGAAAACTGAAATGAAACACATGGGTGAGATGCAGGCTTCGATTCTAGGTCAGCCGACCCTACAGAGGGTTGTAGGAGGGTCAGAAACTGCGACGCAATAGGAGGGTCGTTTATGGTTCAGTTTACGAATGCTACCCTTTGTCTACAATGGAAGAAAGGCAAGCAATTTAAAGAGATGATTTATAATCTTTGACGATTGTATACACTTTATGAAAGTACATGCCGAATGGTTAAATAGCATCGGTTGAAGCAGATCATAATACAAAAAGTGAGAAAATAAACCGAATATTGAAGTTGATGCACTTTGCCAATGAAAAATGAACTTAATTACACATGTACCGATGTTTCTCAATTGAATGAATCCACATTGAAATTGATCAACATAAAATTGTACCTATAAAAACCGATTCGGAATTCTCGCGGTGACTCTGGTTAATTTATTTCGACGGCTCCGATTCGAAAAAGTCCAGAAATTCGGCATGCCAAAAAGTAGGCATAAAATGCAGCGACGAACTTAGCAACAAGAGCAGTGAACGCTCAAGGTTATCTGGTCAGCGCACCGGCGAGACGAGTGTACGGTCCGGATTACTGACGCGTTGCACCCACTCTTTTGATTAAAAATTTGATGTATATTTTGTCGTTTAATTACACATGTTATAACTTTGAAATATTGTCAATAATTGAAGAGCCAACAAATAGAACATTCCCCTTTTATAATAATTGTTTCGTCATCCATTTATAAAATTTATTTATAACTGACGTAATCATTTATTCCTTGTATCTTCCTGTTTTTTTGTAGGTATGCCACGTGGCTGGAAATCCTTTATTTTCACTACGTCTATTGTAACCACCATAATGGTTCTAATTATATCTAGTCAATATCTCGCAGCTTATGCATTAGGTGAGGATTACACCATAAAAATAATGAGTCATTTGCACTTGATGCTAAGTCAAAGTACGCAAATTACGAACATAAGATCTGTTGAACCTTTGAAAGGAATGTTAAACAGTTATATTAAAAGGAATTGAGGAAAAAAACGGTATTATACGATTACATAATAATTTAGAACATTACGGATAAAAAGGTCAAATGCCTGAGGTTGCTTAATCCTGATGTTTTTTTTTAATTTCCTGATAAAAGCCTAACTAAGGTTTTAGTTTTTTTGGCTTCTTTATTTTTGTACTTTTAAGGATGGCCGAAAAGTAAATGTGAAGGGCATGATGTCATCCCGAGAGCTTTGCCCTTCAAGGAATGGACCTTTTTTAAGCTCGGCTCGGGCGTGTCCAGACTTTACTCGCCAATTAGGTTTGCCTGTTCCTACCTCTCAGGCGTGTGATTGGTACTGCATCAACAGCGATTATAAGTATATAACTATATAACTACATATACATATTCCTCTTTCATACCGCTTGCGATTTTATACTAAACACAGCTTCATTCAGTGTCGGTACATCAAGCCAATAGCGTGGTTGTACATTTAAGTATATCAAGTTTTTCAAAGAACCGAGATATGACTAAACCGGTAAGTGCATCAATATTTAAAGCAATACTTTTATAAATATTCAGTGTTAATTTACAGTAGCAATGTGTGTACTCACCTGTACGGTTTCCATCATATCAGACACTCGTGCCGCGCCGTCTGCAGTTCAATTAATCGGAAGCGTTAACGAACAAAAAACCGCACGATCTATTACCAGTTGGCCTATTTTTCAGAAGATGTGTATCTTCACATTTATTTCATCGAGGAGATTTAAATCTAATCTGTTAATTTTCATTTTTAGTCAATTTATCAAAATGTCATAGCGGTAACTACATTATTATTTCGCGTTTTTTAGGAGGAAGCGTGCGGATCCACTGGTCCCTCTATGACTAAAGAGGGCAATAATACAAGCAAGAAGAATTCTCATTGCAACGGATTGAACCCTCAAAATATGTTCCTGGCTACCAAATACCACAACAACGTAAGTTACCTTTTTTTTTTATTAAAGAAAGTGATTGATTTTCGGCAATGATTAGTGAGGTGTCAAAATTCTCGTATGCAGTTCTACTTACTTACAAAGACTTATCTTAAGAACAAAGAGGAGATTTGAACATGATTTGATAACCCCGTCAAACAACCTCATGTGATATATGTAATTTTCGGTGTCGACTTTGCTATAACCTTTATTAAACTAAATTAGTGATACCGTTATGAACGCTGATAACTATCACCGGTAAACATGAGGTAATAGATAATTTTTACGTGAAGAAATACCCATCTGTTATAACACCACTTGCCGAATGTCGATTTATTTTCATAGACAAAATTGTTTAGACAATCAATTCAGACATAGACCGCCAACGCAATCCTAAAATTCAACCTTTCACATTAGTGCTCATAGTTACAATCAGTCAAAAAAAATGAAAAGTCATAAAGAATCTTTCACTCTTTAGCAAAATGAAATTCTGACGGCAAATTTTGTTTCAGATGCCTGACACGGTTGTCATCCTACACTTCGATGATTTGCTGATGAGAGAATTATTTAGTCGGAAAAAAACAAAGTAACCACGAAGTAATAATTCAGCTAAGAATTAATAAATCTCGCCTACTTTCTAATTATTTTTTATGCTCTTAAAATTGGTAAGTATTACTATTTAAATTGGTTTCGGCCGAAAATCAAACGTTTAGATCTCTTTTTGAAAATACTCTTAAATTTTTGTAACTAATAATTAAAATGAATGTGCTATAAGTGTGTATGTGTGAAATTTTTCAAATTACCGTTGACATTCAACGTTAGAAATAAAGGAAAATAAAAAATAATGAAATATGTTCTAGTTTGATTGAAATATGATTTTTATCCTGTTTTCCCGAGACTCTTATTATCGTTGTTATATAAAAATAATATTCTCATCTATCCATAGTATTATTTGTGCCATTAGATATTTATGTACTGTCGTTATATTTTTATATACTAAAGGCTATAGAAGTGCTGCTCTTTAATTATACCTATTGACGGGAACTTAATAGGTCGAGTGTAGGCTAGTAATATGAATGTAATTTAAACGAAGTCATACGAAGTTTGGAATGAAACCTACTCTAGAAGGCCTCTCTATTACGCCTCTAATCGTCTGGTAAAAGTTCTCGTCTGTCGCTATAATAATCAGACACAATATTACATAGTGTCGCGTCATGTCTGCAAAGAGAAAGTATCAATCAAAAATCGTATGCACTTCGGAACTCAAGTGAGCTGACATTACCTCAACCTGGTGAAGTCAGCACAAGGCGTGCGATGCAAACTCGTTGATGGTTCTCGCGCACGTGCCGCATATCTCGTCTAATGCTGTCTGTCTGAGAAAGCGATACCTTATTTGAGTCACTATTATGATTAAGATTAATCCTTATATACAAAGAAATATCTATCTAACTTTATCCATTTTTCCTTGCCCATCATTTCTATTTTCACTCAGGTCGCTCACTCCGAATTTAATAACCCATTTACATTCACTCCAAATCCACAGGAGACTTTATTGGAACTACTGGTGGTTTCTGATTAGCTGTTTAAAGTCTTGTTCATGTCTAAAAATATTCCTGTTACATGTACTCTCGTGAGCTTTATTATATTATTTGTTAAAGAATCACAGAGCTAAGAGGCTAACCTTTCCAACGAATTTACTACACTTGATACTGAATAGAATAAAGCGAATCAATACTCGGTGTCTAGCGCAGAATTACGGTAGGTCAGGAATGCCGTGACTAAGTGTATTCTATATTTAGAACCATGCATCGGTAGGTTATTACGAATACCCTAAATTGGACCTAATTTAAATGCAGCTGATTATTGTGCATCTCAAACATATTATTTCTTAAACTTTGTCGGCAAATATAAAAAAAAACAGATTGGGGACAAGTTGGGAGATCAGTTTTGAAGTGATTTATCAATTTAAGAAAATAAAATAAAAAATCCGATGTGGTTTTAGATACAAAGTCACCTTCAAAATCAAACCAGAATTTGTGCTAATCGATTACCTTTTGATGAACTCTCATATTATATATGTAGACTAGACCAGGTTTTATTAATTCTTCTTCACTACATACTACATAAACAGATACTAATAAAATTGAGTTCTATCCCGATCGGTGAACTCAAGCAAAACTCATATTCATTCGATGGATAAATCCCGAATTTGTGAACCCATAAACATGTTATAAAATTCAATCAAAAAAGATTTTAGAAATATTCGGACGTCGGAATTCTAAAATAAACGTGTGAGAATGAAGCCGCACTCGCTCACGGGCTGAGCTATCGGATCACTAAATTCAAGGTTATTCACCATGTGAGTTCAGTTGCCTAGACGATCGTATCTCGACATATTTTGTAGTAATGCTGTCGGGACACTTGAGTAGTTATGAAGTTAGTCCTTGTTAACGCACATGCGCTAAAAATATGACAATGTAGGCAGATAATGGCTAAAACTAATACCCACGCACAACGTCACAAACGCAGATAAGAGGCCATTGGTAGAATAAATGTTAGAAAATAAAATTACAAAGCTTAAAAATAAATCATTGAAACAAACGAAAAACTTTAAATCAATCATCGCAGACGAATGTAAACTCGATAGGTTTTTGTACGTTAGCCAATGGCTATAAAAATAATGGGTACTTAATAAATCATGAACCTCATGAAACTGATGACTTGTTTCTTTTTTGGAAGAACCCAAACAAAAAAAACAACTTGGTAAAGTATTATACAACGACAAAGTTGTAAGCGACAGAACAGTCAACGTTACAGTTGATAAGAGTGACCTCGATAAATATTTTTCCTACAGTCAAGCACGAAACTTACGGTTATTTTCCTTAATCAATGAAATATTATACATTCAAAGCAACTCATTATAATGGACCCGATTTCTAAATAGAGGCCCGATCAGGGTTGGAGCGGCTCACTTGACGTCATGATAGAGCCGTCTCATGGCAAACTTGTAATTTCAATATTATTCTTGCTCGGGCCGAGTTCTTTTTTTTCCGAATCGCGCTTTAACAATACGATATAGCAACGGTGAGTGTGTGGAAATTGTGTAAATATTAGTAAATACTCGGTTGCCGAAAAGTGGAATTTTTATGAGCATGGTTAAAGCCTAAGTGTAAGCTAATATTAGAAATGCCTTCATCCGTACTCGCATACAAATGATATGTAACCTGGCAATCAATTTTAGGAAGGTACTTTAAACTTAAAGTCTATCTTCTCAGACAAATGCCCATTTCATGGAAACAAATATCTAACATACCTCAACAAGTAGTTATTAAAATTAATGTAATGTTCGATAGAGTTGTAACCGACTGAGCGGTCACCGTTAAAGTTGATAAGGATAACCTTGATAACCTATTATTCTCCTTATTCGATTAAACATAATGAAGTACCGAACGGTCTATTGATATGGCCGATTTCAACACAGAGGCCCGAATTGTGGCTCATTCGGCGCGCTTGGTGTTATGATAAAGACGTCTCGTGACAAACTAGTAATTCGATTATTTTTCTCGCGCAATTTCAATGCTGTTTTTATTTGTGTAAAAATCAGTGAATAAGTTTAAATTACGGTGAGTGTGTGTAGTTCATACATATGTTGATGAATACCTAATAGGTATAGTGTGATATAGTGATAAGCATAGATTGACGTTGAGTGTCTATTTGTAGATGCAAGAGTTACCGGGTCAGCGTGAAGGTACTAAGAAATATTTCCATAATGGATACTTCTATCATTTGGATCCACGTTCGGCTGATATTGGAAATGCCTTTATCTGTAGCTATCGCTACCGTCAATGGCAATGCCTAGTGACCGCTCAGAAGAATTATAACGGGGACATCAATGTGAAAGGAGAACATGGTCATACTCCAACTTCTCTTCAAGAGTATCAGCGGTTTGAGGAATTTAAAAGTAAGCTCAAAGAACAAGCACGTAAAAGTACCGATCCACCTAGTACTATCGTCCAGAAACTTAAAATCGAGTAAGTACTTTACTTTACTAATAACATTTGAGATGTTACTGTAGTATCAGTATATATATATATTTATTTTGTATGTCATATCGAAATTAAACTGTGGATGGTTTTTAAAAATGAGGACATGATTTTACTATAATTTACATAGTTTCAAAGGAAAAAAAAGAACAAGAAACATATCAATAGTAATTTTCGTACTAATTTCAGAAAATAAAATTGACAAACGCTTTTCAGGTATTCGGATGTGGCTCACCTTATCCTACAAAGTAGTGCAAAAATTTACATTATAAGGGAAAGAAATAAATTTCGCCCTAAGCTGCCTGAAAGATTGAGCGATTTGGGAAGTTTGCTTGTAGGGTATGAACCAGCTCAAGCAATTTACCAAGGACAGGTGACAATATCTGAAACCAGCAGTGCAGTCATCTTTGCGAGTAATGCTATGCTGGAACGCTTAAATGATTGTCTAGAGATTTATGTGGATGGTACTTTTAAGGTATAACTTATATGTTCAAAAATATTTACAATATTCAATATATACTTATTCTCTTGAGTAAATTCCATCTTACTTTTTTTCAGTGTGTACCGAGAGCCATAGGAGCCAAACAGCTGCTTATTTTGCATATGAGGAAAATGGACGTGGTATGTAACTAAAATACTTTTTCCTTGTATAGTACAATGGCATATTTTACATAAATTTCCATTCTTCTACAGGGTATTGCTAGTGTCTTTGTACTCTGTTCGGGTCAAACCGCTGAATTGTACACAGGCATTTGGAATTTCTTGCTTGGGCGGGCTCCCAGACTCAGAGAGAACTTAAAGACTGTTATGATGGATTTCGAAAGAGCTCTTATTAAGTCTGTAAAAGAAACCATGCCATGGGTCACGATCAGAGGTTGCTGGTTCCATTTTACTAAAGTAAGTATTAATACAAACCGAGAATGTTATGTAAAAACTAAAAAAATTTTATTTACATGCGTTTTTTTACTTTCAGGCAATCTCCCTTCATTGGCAAGACTTAGGCCTGAAAAGCGTTTCTTCTCCCCTCGTACAAGATATTCTATCTCTAGCGTGGGTTCTTCCTCTGCTCCCAAAAGAAGATTTCCCGGAAGCCATCGAATTCTATAGAAAGAAAGCCAATCAAGTTGATCCTGAGTACCAAGACAATGTTAATAAATTCATTAACTACTTAGAAAATCAATGGTTACGCATAGCCGAAGTTGTGTCTGTATGGAGGTCACCGAAACGAACTAATAATATTTGCGAGTCGTTTCATAGATGGCTCCCACAACGCCTAGGCGTTCACCCCAATTTGTTTGCTTTTATTGGTAAGTTGTTTATGTGAATGTAAAATCACACTTATGTTGTGGAACTTGAGTTTAATGAATAATTTTTACTTTTCAGGAAAATTGGCAACCATAATTACCGAGATAGAGGGTAACTGGCAAGACCTTGAGCGCGATGGGAATGCATTTGGAAAGAAGTGCCGTAAAAAGTCTGCTATCGATTCCTACATAAATTATCATCAGATAGCGTTGTTTAATAGAAAGTGAGAAGAACTGAGTATTGCTATTATTAAGTCACTTTTATGATCTAATGAGATATAAACTAATGACTATTTCTCGTCTTTTCAGAATCGATGTTGGTGAATTTCTTATGAAAATGAAGACCCAAAGTGTGAAAAATCTTATCACGTTCAAGCTGTACTCACCGCATAGTAAGTATACATCTTTGTATTTTAAGGCTGGTCAATACGAGACAACACTGTTTATAACATTCATTGTACATTTCAGATGTCAAAAATCTCAGTCCAAAAGATATATGTGATCCTGAGGAGCTGGTAAATTTACTGGAGTATTCGCAAATTATCGAATATACGAATAGTGCCTCTGCGAAGTCATCGGAAGTTACTCAAGAAAGTAACCCTGTGATAATGCAAGTACAAGAGATCACACAGGAGCAGAAAATTATAAAAGAGCAAGAGATGAAAGATAATACAATGACTGTATTAGAAGAAAACATCTCCACCATACAAAAAAAAGTACGACGAAAAAAGACAGTTTGTCTATGTTGTACTTCTAAAGCTCCTTCTAAAGTAACCCCAAAAGAGAAGAAGAATAAGAAGAAGTTATGTCGCAAATTGTTTACAGAAGACGAGCCTCGAAATAAACTACACCCATCCTTGAGAAAAGTTCTGGAGAAAGCTAAGAAGAAGAAAAGATCGCGTAACCAGGAAATTACAGAAGATGAGTCTCGCTACAAATTATCTCCATCCTTGAAAAGAGCTCTGGAGAAAGCTGAGAAGGAGAAAAGATCGCGTAACCAGGAAGTTACAGAAGATGAGCCTCGCTACAAATTATCTCCATCATTCAAAGCTTTTCTAAAAAAAAACATGACCATGACATGTGTCTAAACGATAGTATTTAGTTTTAGGATTTTACTATAAGTTTGTTAACACCAAAGTTTTCAACGATAGAGATGTAAACGATTGAGCTATGCTTGATAGAGTTGTAACGGATAACGTTTGTTATTTCTCTAAAGATAAAATTTATACTTTGTCAGTTACAACTCTATCAGGCACAGCTCAATCGTTTACATCTCTATCAGAACAATTCTATCATTTAAATCTTTTATATTTACTTAATTTTATATTTAAAAAAAAAAACATGTTAAGTGTGCTGTTTTATGATAAGGATTCTACTTCTATTTTTTTTCTTTTTAATTAATAAAAATCAATCTGAATTTAGTTGTTTTATTATAATTAGTTTGAGGACAAAGACTCTTTAAGTGATCTAAACGTCGTTTGATTCTATGTGCTTAGGATAAGTACGTAGACATATATACTTCCCGGGTTTCCCGGGAATATAAACTGAAACATTGGTTGAGCACCTACCGGCCGCGTCTCCAAGTGGCGGATAGGAGCATTGTTCGGGTAATACCGAATAGAGGCCTTGGGGAACACGAGGCGTACCGAGAACCACATAAAAGTAGGTAAGTACTTTTTTCCTCAGCCCAGAATATAGGCACGATTACTCTAAAAATACCGACTACTATGTTTATCCCGTTCCTACGGTTTTAATTATAGTAATGGTAATGAAATTACCAATTATTACATATGAACACAGCAAACAACTCAATGTTCCGTAGTGATAATGACATAATAAATGATTGAAAACATAAATGCCTAAAGAAGACAACTCTATAGTACGCTCTTTTATAAACACGTTTCGTGATCACCGGAGATAAGTAACTGAAATTTATAGCTTTTGTTCATTCAAACAAGAAGACATTAGTTCGGGTCAAAATTACAATCGGTCTTTATTTGATATATTTTACGAACCACGTCATCTCCTGCGGTTAATACAACAAGGCATTGTTCCCATAACGACATTTCAGGGAACAAATAAAATATTATGACATTCTCTATGTATAGTTATTGTATATGTTATCCTGTTTATGAACGTCTATGCCGACTATTATAGCGTTAGGTATAAAAACATGGAATAGAGGCCGCGTACGGAGCCCTGTACTAAAGATTGGCGAAAGATTGAAAACCAAGCTTCCGAATGTTAGTGTAGAATTAGCATATATTTTATGCTAAACAAATTGTCATTTAATGATAAACAAAACCGAAATAGTAATAGCTTTTTAAATTTGAATAAAAAATAACGACGTCAGCTTGACACGCCATGGGTAGCAGGTTCAATTCCCAGCTGAGACAAATCATCTATATGGTTTTTCTTCTGACCACTGTGAAGAGAAGGGGCCTTTTCGGAAGACCGGCCGTATTAACACAGATTTCCTGTAGTTTCTCTGTGCCTAGATGGCGTTGTACAATAAGTCTTAGTTAATAAGAATGTACCTTCCTTAAAGAAAATCTAATCTAATCGATGATCAATAATAATAAAGCACCAGAAGCTTGAAAGAATCTGATAAGATTTCGTGATTCTGCTATGCAGAAATTCAAAATCTATAGAATTATATATTGACTCAGAACACCTGAAAGAATTATTTTTTTTACTGATCAAAATAACATTTCGAATTAATCTAAATGATGCTAGATAACAAGTTACAAATTTTTTACAAGGTTTAAAATACTTTCTAAATTTTCAGCTATGCCGATGAAAATTTAATTATCAAAAAGTTTCTGAAAAAAAATAGTAAAAAATTTTGACTTAAAAGATTATTTAGGATTTTTTTTTTTTCATTTGGCTAAAACTTAACAATTCCCTGTTTTTTAAGAGCTGAATGGTGCATTATCTTAATATTTTATATTATTATTAAACTCTTCCCATGTAAAACTAATAGAATCATTTATTTAATAGCAAATTTTTGTAAGATCTCCATTAGCACTTGATATTGTTACCATTGACTTATCAATGCATCATAAACTTAATCCAACAGATTCCTTTGGCAAATCTTCCTAATTACATTCTAATCACAAAGAGCAATTGCCAACAAAAAAATGTTTCAATTAGTTGAGATAAAGAGGAAATAATAATTATTTTGATTATCATTTAAATACTTCACAGAAGTAGATAATGATTCGAGAAAAATATTTGTTAAGACTTTTAAGAGAGTAGTCTTGCTTTTGTTTGAGTTAAGGGCTATGAAAGTAACTACTTTTATATTTTTTCAAATGTTTCTTTGCCGAATCTATATCCATTGCCGAGACTTGCTGACGAATAGTGTTCAGTCTACAAACTGACAGATTTTATAACTTGACTAGACTTATGAGAGGCCTTGAGTTTTTTCTTGCGTTTATCGAAGTGTATTTTAATCAAAGCAGTAAGCGGATCAGAAAATTTTAAGAGTATTCCAACAATATTTTAAAGAAGATATACACAAATATCAACACCGGTAATAACTCTTATGTTCTGCTGTTTAATAAACCAATGAAAAACTTTTGGAATTTTTTACGAGCCATCTGATTGCTATTTAAATTGATGTCTTGCGAACAACTACTGAATTGGAATCATCTTAATATTTAATTCTTATAGCTAATATAATACTCCATTATACGAACGATCAAATTTCTACTGAAACTCGTAATACATAAGCATGCTGTAACTATTCATATAATCCGAACTGCATGAATTCAGAGTAACGACCGCATTGTGTTTTAATAAAGTTCAAGTAACTTGCATGAACTTAAAGCTGTGAAAACAAACCTTGCGGTATCGTGAAGATTTTGCCGAGAAAAATTGTCTTCTCTTTATTAATCACTCAAGGACATGAATAATAATCAGTCTTAACATTATTTGTCGTATGTAAATCTTATTTTAAAGTACATCTCAAGAACATTAATAAAAAATTTCTATAGCATTAGGGGATGAGGAATTGTACAGATCTTCAAAAGCAACGGTCATTGACCTCTGGGAATCTTCTACAAGAAATAACACAGTCACTGCTGAAATGTCTGTCAAATACATGGACATTATCACGTTCTATGTGCCGTGTAGACTAAAAACTGATTACTAAGAACGTTTTAGAAAACAATTTAGTTTTGAATACTAGTCACGTACGTGTCGTATCCACCAAGTATTTCACACCGGAGCGATGCTGTATTGAAAAGAAACATTTATTGCAAATAGGAATTTTTGTAAAATCAGTAATGGATATTTAATTTGACCTGTGGTTTTTTTATCTACTACCTACCGTAAAAATTGGTACAAATTGGAAAAAAAAATAGCCGAAAAATTAAATTTAATTTGTTTTGTTGGTATATTTCAAAAAAAAATCTCAGTTCTGATTTAAACAGTTAAATTTATCCGTGTTTTTATATCCTGCAATAGTGAGGCTATTATGTTAACAGATCAGATATCAAAGTCCTTGCAATAAAAATCCTTATTATATTTTATACTCCATCGGCGAATTGCTAGTTTTAGTGTCGTGCATTGCCCTCTTCTCTACCATAAAACGTTGACTTATACAAGATATTCATCAAAGTGCATTTTCCTTTTTCGGCCATTTCATGAAACGTTTACATCCACTTAGATGCTTCTGTACTCATCATGCAAAGATCCGCATTTATATGCTAATTTATACCTTGCTGATGCATGAGAAATATCTTTTGTTAAAACAAGATTGCAAAATGCGGTATATTCAGTAAAATATACGACTTGAGGAGATTGATTCATTATTGAAATTAAAACTACTCTTCATAAACTACAATCTAATGTCTTGCAATTCCCATAGCTTATGTTGACGAAAACTTGGTCTAGTTAAATGGTGAAAGAAAAAGAAAAACTTAATAGAAAATCCTGTTTTATGAAGCCTCTTTACTCCAACAATATCGTTAAGTATGTAAACACTAGAAGCCACTGAAATAAATTAGAAGAAAGTAGTTTCTGTCTTTACAATTTGGAGTTTTATTTAGAACTAAAATTGCAACATTTTCAAGTCGTTCCGAATTAGTATAAACATTTGCACAACATGGGCAGTGTGAGAAATAATGGCTACCACTCCGATCCTTGTTCATCGGATGCACCAATGATGCTCCGGAAGTCACTCAATAGTTTTATTTTCTGCTGCACTCGGTGTCAATGAATTTTGATAAGATATTCAGAAATATTTATTGCAAAGCCACTAAAGAATGTGTCTCTGAGAATTCAAATTTCACATCACCAATATTATATTAGCATAAGTTTTCATAAAATGAGTGAAGATAACACAAACATACCAATTCATGTGTCGAGCACCTTTTCACCGAAAATGCTTCGGTAAATTAAATTACCCTTATCCACTGTGAAACGCTGTAAAATAGTTTTCTCGTTGCTACACTGAAATTACCTTTATGCGCAGTAAGATGCGCAAAGGGAAGAGCATAAAAACACTGACACTTTGTCGACACTAGTGCAGTGCAAACTTTCAGGAGTTACGTCCAGTCGTCTGAAAGTCAGTTAAAATAAGTACGATGGATTCACTTAACACCCGCGAGTATCGGACGAAAATTGCAAGAAAAATTATCAAAATAAAACAGGAGCTTGACGAGATTGATGCACAATCAGCAGATAAATGGAAAGAACATCCGATCCGTGTTAATCACCGTATTATTAAACTTCAGGCTGATAAAGAAAGACTTCGAGCAGAATTGAGATTTATGTGTCGTAAAATTGTGACGCTAAGTGATGAAATTATTGAGGCTCTGAGGACCGATTAAAATTATAAGGTACTTTTTAAAATGTTTTTTTTAAGTTTCAGAAGCTGAAGAATTTTTTTCAAAGTCTTTTTTATATTAAGGACACCAACTGGCAAAGAGAATTTTGGAAACACAAATGTGTGGCCGAATTTATAGCAACATAACATCTTGAATTTGCCTTCTTCTAATTAGGTATTATTTAAGAATGGCGCGAGTTAAAAGTTGTTGCCGAAGTTTGGAGCATGCGCAGTTCGCACGAACAGAAAATTGCCAAAACCTGTTGAATTTCGGCTGTTGAACCTTGCGATTTATTTCTCTTGTACTGACATTGTTGAACT